GTGTGCATGGAAGTACCGTTGATGGAGATGGGAGGACTGGGAGAGCAGTAAGTCTAGGGAGACAAGAACTGGGAGTGAGGTTTGGATAGGTTAAATCTGAGATGCCTGTGAGTCATCCATGTGGAAATGTCCAGTAAGTAGTTATGTCTGGAACACAGAGCAGAGGTTTGAGCTGGAGAAATAAATTTGGGAGCCAGGGAAAGATGAAATTCCCTAAAGAATGCTTAGAGGGAAAAGAAAAAGAGCCCAGGATTGAGCCCTGGGAAATACAGGTCCTTCAGTATCTACAAGTGAGGTCAAAGAGGAGGAGGAGGCCGGGCTCAGTGGCTCACGCCTATAATCCCAGCACTTTGGGAGGCCAAGGCGGGTGGATCACGAGGTTAAGATATCGAGACCATCCTGGTCAACATGGTGAAACCCCGTCTCTACTAAAAATACAAAAATTAGCTGGGCATGGTGGCGCGTGCCTGTAGTCCCAGCTACTCGGGAGGCTGAGGCAGGAGAATTGCTTGAACCCAGGAGGCGGAGGTTGCGGTGAGCCGAGATCGCGCCATTGCACTCCAGCCTGGGTAACAAGAGCAAAACTCTGTCTCAAAAACAAAAAAGAGGAGGAGGAGGAGGTGGCAGCAAAACAGGAGGAATGGCAAGAGACTGTGGCATCCTAGAAACCAAAAGGGGGAAGGGTGCCTTGAAAAGGAGAAGAGTAAGAAGTACAGGAAGTATTCCTGAGGTGTCAAGTAAGATAAAGACAAAAGGGAACCACCAGAGACCTTCAAGATTGCAGCCTGGGGACGAGGTTAGATGCAGGCACTAGGTAGAGTGGCATCCTCATTGTTGAGGCCACTGCAGTTTGTTGTGATCTCTGGGAGACTGCTGGAAGTTGATGAGGTGCATAAGGTCTGTGTGGCTGTTGGAAAGGATCTGCTTTAAAAGTCAGGCAGCCTGGCCAGGCGCGGTGGCTCATGCCTGTAATTCCAGCACTTTGGGAGGCCAAGGCAGGTGGATCACCTGAGGTCAGGAGTTCAAGACAGGCTGGCCAACATGGTGAAATCTCGTCTCTACTAAAAATACAAAAAAATTAGCTGGGCATGGTGACATGTACCTGTATTCCCAGCTATTTGGGAGGCTGAGGCAAGAGAATCTATCAAACCCAAGAGGTGGAGGTTGCAGAGAGCCAAGATCAGACCACTGCACTCCAGCCCGGGTGACAAAGCGAGACTCCATCTGGGTGGGTGCAGGGAAGAAGTCAGGTAGTCAGAGCATTTTGTCTCTCCTTCCCCTGCAGGGGTCTGTGAAGATCATGCTGCCCTGAGCCTGGCAAGATGGTGCAAGGGTTCAACAATCCCCTGCCATGTCCTTCTTCAGGCTCTGCTAATTCACCCGTGTCCCTCTCCCTCTGCCCGTTCCCCTACAGGACACTTCACGGCCATGGTATGGAAGAACACAAAGAAGATGGGAGTGGGGAAGGCATCCGCAAGTGACGGGTCCTCCTTTGTGGTGGCCAGGTACTTCCCAGCAGGGAATGTTGTCAACCAGGGCTTCTTTGAAGAAAACGTCCTGCCACCAAAGAATTAACTTGTCAAATGTAATGGGAAGGTGGCAGACTTAAGAACATGGATATGAAGTGCCTAGAACAACCAAAACCTGGCTGTGTGTCTGCCCCTGTGGGTGTATGTGCTTGTGTGTATGATGCATGTGAGCGTCTCTGGTATATACACTTGGACATACAGGTCTATGTGAGCTCATTCTTATTACAAGAGTGAGCAAATGAAGCATTTACCCTGATGGTTGCCTAGACCATAATCATTTGGATTTGGAGGAGGGGGGAATCAGTTTTTTAAATTTGTTGTTATTTTTAAGCAAACTTCTTTTGTATCTTTCTTCTAATATCCATCCCTGGACTTTTTGTATTCCAAATGTTTGTGATGCTGAGAAATGAAGTTCATTTTATGAGATCTTCATGTGTCGTAATCTACTTTTGGTAGATAATTAAGAGTATTAAACCCTCATTTAAATGTGACATACGATACAGCTTTAAGCACATAAATATAAAGCAGCTTCCATCAGAAACATGGAGCAGGCAGGGGCTCCATTTTTACAGAATTATCGAGATTCCTGAGTTGTAAAACATGATGTCATCCTGCATGCCTCCTGGAATTCTCCAATGGGATCGCCAAAGAACAAATGGAGAAAAAAAGCTTTACTACCTTGCATTCTTCTACCTTTAAATATCAAAGTACCCCTGCAACCACCACCTCTTGCCCCCTTCCCTCTTTTCTTAAACTTCTGGCATTTCAGAGCTCAGCAGGCTACCCAGGTTTCTGGAGAGTTGGGCTAGGCCCGAAGCTCCCCCCTCCCCGACCTCTGCTAGGCGGCCCAGGCCTGGTCTGGGAGACAGCCCCCTCACTCTGCCTGGGCTCTTGGCCAAGCGGCCTTGGATGGATGAAGTCAGAGAGGTGGGGTGAGGGTGAGCTCACTCAGGGCCCCCAGAGGAAGCCCTCCAGCCTCTGCCCTCCCCCGACACAGGGCGGGAGCCCAGGCCTGTTCCTGGCAGCTGTGGTTGCAGCTGTGCCGCTGCTCCTTCCTGGAATGTACAACAAGCCCAAATGTTCCAAGAAGACGTTCCGGGCAGGGGGCTTAGAAATGCTAATATGGTTCTGTGTTTTGCCTGAAACGATACCAGGTTCCCCTGAATAGCAACTTTACAAGGTCCATGTGGGAGGGACCAACCCAGATGCCATGCCAAGTGTCCCTGAAACCATGACAGCTCCATCTGTCAAGATGGCAGGGGCGGGAGTGAGGGGGCTGCTGGCTTGACAGAGCCATCTGGGCAGGCCAGTCCTCAAAGCAGCTCCTGAAGGTCTGTGTTGCCCTATGACCGGTCTCACACTATGCCTCTCATTTCCCCGAGGATATTGACCAAGACAATAAAATCTTTTTCTTTGTGTAGTGTCTTTCTCCAATGTGATTCATACCTGAAACTCGGTGGCTGAGACAATCCATGACTCTGAATTCCTCTCTTGATTAACTCAAGCCCTGGAATACCTGCAACCCATCCCCTGTGGACTGTGGTGCTTAAGTGGCCAAGTTTTAAGCCATGTGACCCACCAGCACAGAGCTGATTAGACTAGCTGTGGACACTGGATCCAACAGCAGCCAACCACCAGGCTGGCCATGGACTGGTAATTTCAGCTAAGAAATGTGGAGAGAATTTACCAGTGGAACTGAAAAAAATAAGGATGCCATTAATTGGAATTAGGGCCATGGCAAACCAAAGCTACTTGCAAGCCAGGTTATGAATGGGAAAGACACAGAAGCAAAGAAGCCAGTTATTGGAGGTACAAAAGGGGAGGAGATGCTGAGAATATTCTTGAATGTTCCTGAGTTTTCTAGCTCCAGCCTAAATCTGTATATCTTTAAAATATGCCCCTCATTTTCTTCAGGGCTTCCAAACAAACTGATATACCAGCCGATAGTCCCCAAAGATTAGAATTATACCTTCTCTTCCTAAAGGAAGACACCATGTATGGAAAATGTGAAGCCTGGCAGGAAGCTGATGGTGAGTGGAATGTAGAGACCCCCCTTGAGGTCCTTTTCTGACCCCTCCTGGCAAGCTGCCAGCCAATGAACTTGGTGCTCTTCATGTCACCCCCCTCCACCCCAGTGCTCACACACACACACACACACACACACACACACAACCAGGTGGTGGAAGCAAGCATGCAGCCAGCCTCCATGGGCTGGAGTTTGTTTCCGCAGTTGGCTGGATTAAGGAAACGGCTGGACCAAGGGAGCTTTCCTGGGCTGAAGAAATGCCAGACAGTGAAGCTGGCCGAGCAGGTGGGCACTAATCTCACTTTAAAGGATTTCTTGAAGATGGCAAGCCTCACAATCCGAAAAGAACAAGGACAAACCAAACTGCGGCTCTCCTTTGTAGCCAGAGGACAGAAGAAGGAGACAGATCTCTGGGTGCAAGCCTCTTCCTCTCCCTGGGCCTCAGTTTATACACCTGTATGAGGCCTGGCACATGGAGTTAGGTCTATCAGTTCTCTCAGGCCCCCATGACAGCTCCAGACCAACTTAATGCTGTGTCTGATGAGAGAGCTTATTCCTGCCTTGGTGCTCTGGGACCCGAAACAAAAACAAGCATGACTACCTCTATCACTGAAATGCCCCCAAGGCTGAGGTTTGCAGGTGAAGGGTGGGGGAGAGGGCAAAGGAGGTGTGAAGCAGCAGGGCCTGACCCACCCACCTCTTGCTCCCTGGTGAAGATGCCCCAGGAGGCAAGATCTGCCAGCCTGCATGCCCATGGGAACCAGGTGTCTGTCATCAGCACTGAGGCCTCATCCTTCACCCAAGTCGCTGCTGCTTGGAAGAAGTTCAGGGCTGAAGAGGCATTAAGAGCTAAATTATTCTCCCAGGGAGACAGCTGACCCAGAGAGCCTCATCTAAGCCCTACACCTGGCCGCTGGAGGCAGAGGCTGAAATTGAAGTCTTCTTTCAATGGGGAAAACAGAAGTTTTTCACCTTGTGCGTGTATCATATCCCAAGAGACTAAGTCTCTCTATCCTATTCAGGCAGGAAGGTGGACACATTCAGTTTAAAGGGGTATTTTCAAATAATTTTCAAGTTACCAAATCTCAAAATAAGGAAAAGTCTAGGTCTGGAATGAAAGAATGAGGGAGGAAGACAATGAGAATGAGAACATGACAAAGCCAGGGAGGGAAAGAACTGGACCCGCTCAGATTCTCAAGGCTGACACTGACATTTCCTGGGAAGGGCGCTGAGGACGGCCCGAGGGTCTGGAGTAGGGCTTGGGCCCAGATTGGAGATCAGGGGCAGGTCCTTTCTGCACCTTCTCGCTAATGCCTGGGCGAGACGCAAGTCGAGGCCCTTCCTAGGGTCTCTTCCCAAAGGCTAGTCCAGGTGGGGCCGCTGGGCTCTTTTGCCTCCCCCTCCCTCTCGCCCGTGGGGCTCCAGCTGGTCCTTATCCCCTCCTTACACAAACAGCAGTGCCACAGATGCCCCACAGTACTGCTAGAGCCCCACGCCGGCCAGGAATCTGTCCGAGCCTGTGGACACCCTCCTCTCTCCCCGCAGCGGGACTCGCAGGGGTCACGAACTCCCCAACTGTTGCTGGGAGTCGGAGGCGGCCTGCTGGCCCCTGGCGGGCGCGCCCCCGTTGAGGCTTAGCGTCCCCATCTGTAAAATGGGGACAGCTGTGTGTCTGTGGAGATCTAAGGAGTCCTGCCAGGCTGAGAACCCTCGATCCTGCTGTTTGAATTCCAGAGTCGCGGCGGACAGCACGGCGCTGCGGCCTCAGCATGGTGGCGCGTGGAGGTAAAGCGAAAAAGGGGACGCCCCGCGCCTCTTTTCCATCCTGGATAGGGGTTGGGGGTGGTGCCTGGCGCGGAGGCGGTGCGCTCGGGGGCGGCGACGACCCTCCAGCGCCACCGCGTGGCTGGACGGGGCTTGGGCCGCCCGCCCAGAAGAGACGAGGGAGCCGCAGCCTCGCCACTGCCACGAAACCAGAACCACGACGACTGCAAGTATTTATGAAGGTAGCAGCCACGAACGCCGGCGCTGGGTGAACTGGGGTAATATGAGTAAGAAAATGGCAGCTAACATTCATTGAGCGTTTATGACGAGCCCACCACTCTCTAGTCCTCTTCTCGTTTAAACTATAATAATAGACGCCTCTAATCCCCAACACCTTGAGAGACCAAAGCGGGTGGATCACCTGAGGTCAGGAGTTCGAGACCAGCTTGGCCAATATGGTGAAACACTGTCTCTACTAAAAACACAGAACTGACCAGGGGCAGTGGCTCACGCCTGTAATCTCAACACTGTGGGAGGCCGAGGCGGGTGGATCATCTGAGGTCAGGAGTTTGAGACCAGTCTGGCCAACATGGTGAAATACCGTCTCTACTAAAAATACAAAAAATTAGCCGGGCATGGTGGCGCACGCCTGTAATCCCAGCTACTCGGGAGGCTGAGGCAGGAGAATTGCTTGAATCTAGGAGGTGGAGGTTGCAGAGAGCTGAGATTGCGCTATTGCACTCCAGCCTGGGCAACAAGAGTGAAACTCCGTCTCAAAAACAAAACAAAACAAAACTTAGCTGGGTGTGGTGGCAGGTGCCTGTTATCCCAGCTACTCTGGAAGGTCTTGCGGGGAAGGGAGAAAAGATAGGGGAATTGCAATAGAAAAAGAAGAATAATTCGGCCGGGCGCGGTAGCTCAAGCCTGTAATCCCAGCACTTTGAGAGGCCGAGGTGGGTGGATCACGAGGTCAAGAGATCGAGACCATCCTGGTCAACATGGTGAAACCCCGTCTCTACTAAAAATACTAAAAATTAGCTGGGCATGGTGGCGTGGCGCATGCCTGTAATCCAAGCTACTTAGGAGGCCGAGGCAGGAGAATTGCCTGAACCCAGGAGGCGGAGGTTGCGGTGAGCCGAGATCACGCCATTGCACTCCAGCCTGGGTAACAAGAGCAAAACTCCGTCTCAAAAAAGAAGAAGAATTCATGTGGACCCGGCTGTGCAGAAGACTGGACAGTTTTGATTTTTGAGAAGTCTCACTCTGTCACCTAGGCTAGAGTGCAATGGCATGATCTCTGCTCAGTGGAACCTCCACCTCCCGGGTTCAAGCAATTCTCCTACCTCAGTCTCCCAAGTAGCTGGGATTACAGGCATTACAGGCACGTGCTACATGGCTGGCTATTTTTTTTTTTTTTTTTTTTTTTTTTTTGAGACAGAATCTTGCTTTGTCACCCAGGCTGGAGTGCAATGGCGTGATCTCAGCTCACCTCTGTCTCCCGGGTTCAAGCAATTCTCCTGCCTCAGCTTCCCAAGTAGCTGGGACTACAGGCATGCGCCACCATGCTAATTTTTGTAGTTTTAGTAGAGATGGGGTTTCACTATGTTGGCCAGGCTGGCCTCGAACTCCTGACCTCAAGCCATCCACCCACCTTGGCCTCCCAAAGTGCTGGGATTATAGGCGTGAACCACCACACCCAGCCTAATTTTTGTATTTTTAGTAGAGGCAGGGTTTCACTGTGTTGGCCAGGCTGGTCTTGAACCCCGCACCTCAGGTGATCTGCCTGCCTCGGCCTCCTAAAGTGCTAATATTACAGGCATGAGCCACTGTGCCCTGCATGGAGTTTTATTATTACTCAAATCAGCCTCCAGAGCATTGGGGGAGCAGAGTTTTTAAGGATAACTTTGTGGGTAGGGGAAAGCCAATAAGCCAGGAGTGCTGCTGACTGGTCAGAGACGAAATCTTCGGGAGTCAGAGCTGTCTTCTTGGGCTGAGTCAGTTCCTGGGTGGGGGGCCACAAGATCAGATGAGGTAGTTTATCAGTTTGAGTGGTGCCAGCTGATCCATCAAGTGCAGGCAAAGCATCTCAAGCACTGATTTTAGGAGTAGTTTAGGGAGGGTCAGAATCTTGTAGCCTCCAGCTGCATGACTCCTAAACCATAATTTCTAATCTTGTGGCTAATGTTAGTCCTACCAAGGCAATCTAGTCCCCAGGCAAGAAGGAGGTCGGCTTTGGGAAAGGGCTGTTACTGTCTTTGTTTAAACTATAAACTATATGTATAGGTTTCTCCAAAAGTTAGTTCAGCCTTTTCCAAGGAATGAATAAGGCCAGCTTGGAGGCCAGAAGCAAGATGGAGTCAGCTAAGTTGATCTCTTTCACTGTCTTCGTCATAATTTTGCAAAGGGGGTTTCAAGCGGAGATGGCACCACTGCACTCCAGCCTGGGCAACAGAGCAAGACTCTGTCTCAAAAAAATAAAAATAAACTCATAATAATCTTTGAAGCAAGTACTACTATCAAATATTAGTTGTATCTCACAGAGGAGGAAACAGGTTTAGAAAGTCTGAGCCACTTGCCCATGTCCACCCTTGATGGAGACACTTGGAAAAGTGGGAGGAACATTCTAGTTTGCCATGGAGCTGAAATAATCTGGGCTTTAAAGGCCCTCCAGGCCCCAGTTTGTGGTTAACCCCTGCATCCGTGCTCCAGGGAGTGGCCTCCACCTCTCCATCTTGAAGGAGAATAATGTCCGCGGCCACCAAGGGCAGAAGCCAAAGGGCAGAACTTTTCTCTGATGCCCAGGAGCCTTGGCAGGAAGAGTGCTTGGAAAGTTGAGAGTCAGAGACTGGGGAAGCTGGGTAGTCAGGAACTTCTAGAATGGTAGGAAGAGTGCCAGGTTGCTAAGGTTCTTGGCCTTGCTCTGCTTCCAATAGGCTATGTGATCTTAAGCAAGTCCCTGCTTTTCTCTGGGCCTCAGTTCCCCTCAAAATGAGAGGATTCTTCTAGAAGCTCTGATCATCTCTTCCCTTTACCCCACCTCCACTTATCTCTCCTACACAAACTTCTCCCCACTGCCCCACCTAGCCTGGCTCTGACATTCCAGAAGCCTCGAACTGTTCAAAAGTTCCAGGTGGGATTTGCTGCCCATCCCTGCGGTTCCTTCTGAGCTCTGGGCCCTGGCTTTAGGTCCTGGTAGAATATGTCACCTTGACAGGTTGGAGAGATCAGAGGGGAGGAAGCTTCAGTGCCTCTGAGACAGGCCTAAGGAAGGCCTGCATTGTGATGACCTCATCCACTCTATGACATCATCCTCACTCCCACCCTCTCTTCTCCCTGGTCAACTGCTCTGCAAACAACCATCAATCTGAATCCCAAAGGCCTGAGAAAGTCTGTTCTCCAGTACCTGCTGCTGATCTGTTTCAGCCAACAAGAAACACCATGAAATTGGAATTCACCGAGAAAAACTACAACAGCTTCGTGCTGCAGAACCTGAATAGACAGAGGAAACGCAAAGAGTACTGGGACATGGCCCTGAGCGTGGACCACCACGTCTTCTTCGCACATCGCAACGTGCTGGCTGCTGTCTCCCCGCTAGTGAGGAGCCTCATCTCCAGCAATGACATGAAGACCACCGATGAGCTCTTCATCACCATTGACTCTAGTTACCTGAGCCCAGTCACAGTGGACCAGCTCCTGGACTACTTCTATAGTGGCAAGGTGGTGATCTCTGAGCAAAACGTGGAGGAGCTGCTTCGTGCGGCTCAGTATTTCAACACACCACGCCTTCGAATTCACTGTAATGACTTCCTTATTAAGTCCATCCGCCGTGCCAACTGCTTGCGCTACCTATTCTTGGCCGAGCTATTTGAGCTCAAAGAGGTATCAGACTTAGCTTACTCTGGCATTCGTGACAACTTCCACTACTGGGCCAGTCCTGAGGGCTCCATGCACTTCATGCGCTGTCCCCCTGTTATCTTTGGCCGCCTGCTCCGTGATGAAAACCTTCACGTACTCAATGAGGACCAGGCTCTCAGCGCACTCATCAATTGGGTATATTTCCGGAAGGAGGAACGGGAGAAGTATTTCAAGAAGTTCTTCAATTACATCAGTCTCAATGCTGTCTCCAACAAGACATTGGTGTTTGCCAGCAACAAGCTGATGGGCATGGAGAACACCTCATCCCATGCAACACTGATTGAGAGTGTCCTGATGGACCGTAAGCAGGAGCGGCCATGCAGCCTGCTGGTCTACCAGCGGAAAGGGGCCCTGCTCGATTCAGTGGTCATCCTCGGTGGCCAGAAGGCCCATGGCCAGTTCAACGATGGAGTGTTTGCCTATATCATCCAGGAGAACCTGTGGATAAAGCTCTCTGACATGCCTTATCGGGCGGCAGCACTTAGTGCCACCTCTGCTGGTCGCTACATCTACATCTCTGGTGGCACCACTGAGCAGATTTCAGGGCTGAAGACGGCCTGGCGGTATGACATGGATGACAACTCCTGGACCAAGTTGCCCGACCTGCCCATCGGGCTTGTCTTCCACACCATGGTGACCTGCGGGGGGACAGTGTATTCAGTGGGCGGGAGCATTGCCCCAAGGCGGTATGTCTCCAACATATATCGCTATGATGAGCGGAAGGAAGTCTGGTGCCTGGCAGGGAAGATGAGCATCCCCATGGATGGCACCGCCGTGATCACGAAAGGCGACCGGCATCTGTACATTGTCACTGGACGGTGCTTGGTGAAAGGTTATATCTCCCGGGTCGGGGTAGTGGACTGCTTTGACACCAACACCGGGGATGTGGTCCAGTGTATCACTTTCCCCATTGAGTTCAACCACCGGCCCCTGCTCTCTTTCCAACAAGACAACATCCTCTGCGTGCACAGCCACCGGCAGAGCGTGGAAATCAATCTGCAGAAGGTAAAGGCCAGCAAGACAACCACCTCAGTGCCTCTCTTGCCCAACAACTGCCCTTTGGATGTGTCCCATGCTATATGCTCCATTGGAGACAACAAGGTGTTTGTATGTGGGGGTGTCACCACCGCCAGCGACGTCCAGACAAAGGACTACACCATCAATCCAAATGCCTTCTTGCTGGACCAAAAGACAGGCGAGTGGAAGACCCTGGCTCCCCCACCAGAGGCACTGGACTGTCCTGCCTGCTGTCTAGCCAAGCTACCTTGCAAGATTCTTCAAAGAATTTAAACAACATTTTAAGTGGGAGAATAAGTAAATGCATTATTATTCACAATTTAATGAGAAAGAGAGGAAGATGGCCTGTTGGTTCCTTCTTACTGTTCCAGTCCACACTTGGTCCTGAAGTTGGAGATCCTGGGTAGGGCTGCTTCGCAGTGGGTGGAAACTCAAGGCCACTATGTCACTGGAGGTCTCCAACAGGGGCTGGAAAGGAACCCCTGGTGGGTGGGACAGGCCTCTCCCAGGCCTGGCCAAGGCAATGTCTGTCTCCTATTCTCTATCCCTGTGGTCACCTCTCAGGCTTCTGTTAGATTGACAGGTAAACATCGCTGAGAGCTGTGAAGCATTGAGCTCCTCTAGTACCCACTTCCCTTGGGTCTTCCGTGAAAGTAGGAGAGGACCTGTCCCAGGTCTGAAAGAGGAACCTCATGGCCAGGAGGGAGAAGGTGATCTAGGCAAGGCACAGAAAAGAGGGCAGAAGGAACGGGAGAGGCAAGGTGGCTTGGCTACTATATTTGCCTATGCAGCTATGGTAGTTTGTGTCTCATTTGTGGGCAAGATGGAGGTTTCTTACAATTGTTTCTAGTAAGCCAGTTACATTGATTACTTTCTCCAGGAATGTGAGCCTGAGGGACTGGGGATTAAAGAAAGGCCAGTAAAGGGAGAAGAAAGAAACATATATCTTGGCCGGGCATGGTGTCCCAGCACTTTGGAAGGCAGAGACACGAGGATCACCTGAGCCCAGGAGTTTGAGACCAGCCTGGGCAATAAAGCGAGACCCCATTTCAAGTATAAAAAGCAGATCACTAGGTCAGGAGATCGAGACCATCATGGCTAACACAGTGAAACCCTGTCTCTACTAAAAATACAAAAAATTAGCCAGGCATGGTGGCACACGCCTGTAGTCTCAGCTACTCAGGAAGCTGAAGCAAGAGAATTGCTTAAACCCAGGAGGCAGAGGTTGCAGTGAGCTGAGATCAGGCCACTGCACTCCAGTCTGAGTGACAGAGTGAAACTCCATCTCAAAAATAAGAAGAAAGAAAGAAAGAAACATGTATCCCTAGTAGAGAGAAGCTGTGGGGTAAGGCGAGATGCCAGAATGCTGTAAGAGTTAGGGCAGGGGACCAGATGGCCTGGTTTGAATGAATAACCAGTTCCATCCCTTACTGGGTGATCCTGGGCAAATTACTTAACATCTCAGTGTCTTCTTCCTCATCCATAAAAGGAGGATAATAAGTGAGCCTACCTCATAGAGTGGAATGTCAAATAACTTAATACATGGCTGGGCGTGGCCACGACGGGCGGATCACCTGAGGATGGGAGTTCAAGACCAGCCTGACCAACATGGTAAAACCCCGTCTTAAAAAAAAAAAAAAAAAAAAAAAACTTAATACATGAAAAATGCCTAGGACAGTCCCTGTATATATTAAAGTGCTACATAAGTACTTTTGTTGTTGTTGTTTTTTGAGATGGAGTCTCGCTCTGTCACCCAGGCTGGAGTGCAGTGGTGCAATCTTGGCTCACTGTAACCTCTACCTCCTGGGTTCAAGTGATTCTCCTACCTCAGCCTCCCAAGTAGCTGGGATTACAGGCGTGCACCACCACACCTGGCTAATTTTTGTATTTTTAGTAGAGACGGGGTTTCACTATGTTGGCCAGACTGGTCTTGAACTCCCGACCTTAGGTAATCCACCCATCTCAGCCTCCCAAAGTGCTGGGATTAAAGGTGTGAGCTGCCACACCTGGCCAGTACTTTTTTAAAAGGGGGAAAAAGGGTCAGACAAGGGTCCTGATTCTTGAGACTTTACATTAAGTAAGTCCCCATAAAATGCTCTTTGAGACTCCCTGACTCAAAGTGTTGGTGAGCTTCCCACAGTTTTTGTTTTTTTTTTTGTTTTTTTTTTGACATGGAGTTTTGCTCTTGTCATCTAGACTAGAGTGCAATGGTGTGGTCTCCGCTCACTGCAACCTCTGCCTCCCAGGTTCAAGCGATTCTCCTGCCTCAGCCTCCAGAGTAGCTGGGATTACAGGCATGCACCACTGCACCTGGCTAATTTTTTTTTTTTTTTTTGAGATGGAGTCTGGCTCTTGTCACCCAGGCTGGAGTGCAATTGCACGATACTGGCTCACTGCAACCTCTGCCTCCTGGGTTTAAGCGATTCTCCTACCTCCGCCTCCCAAGTAGCTGGATCACAGGTGCCCGCCACCACACCCAGCTAATTTTTGTGTTTTTAGTAGAGATGGGGTTTCACCATGTTGGCTAGGCAGGTCTCAAACTCTGGCCTTGTGATCTGCCCACCCCAGCCTCCCAAAGTGCTGAGATTACAGGCATGAGCCATTGTACCTTTTTTTCCCTTTCATTTTTTTGTATATTCACATGTAATCCTCAACAATTTAGAAGAAATTTACCAACTACTTGAAAACAATATGTAATCCTCATTCAACCATCCATTCACCCACTCATTTATTAATTTACTCATCCATTCATTCATTAATTCATATGCATGTGCACCCTCACACCCTGTTCACCAAGGCCTCTCTGTGCCAGGTCCCTGTTCCTGGGCTGGAGCCACAGGCATGACACAGGTAATCCACCTGACAGGGAAGGGAGTATCTATACCAGTGCCATGCGCCAGGAATGCAGTGCAAGCCACATAAGTAACTTAAACTTATCTAGTAGCCACATTAGAAAAGTAAAAAGAAACCAGTGAAATTAATAATTTATTTTATTTAACCCAATATATCAAAAATATTATCAGTTAAGTATATATTCAATATAAAAATTTATTAGTCAACATTCTTTTATTTTTCCATATGAAGTCATTGGAATTCCGTATTTTATTTATTTATTTATTTATTTTAAGATGGGATTTCACCATATTGGTCAGGCTGGTCTTGAACTCCTGACCTCAGGTGATCCACCCACCTCAGCCTCCCAAAGTGCTGGGATTACAGGCGTGAGCCACTGAGCCCGGCTGGAATTCCATATTTTACATTACAGGACAGCTTAATTCAGTTTAAACCCTGTTGGTCTTGAACTCCTGGGCTCAAGTGATCCTCTTACCTCAGCCTCCCAAAGTGCTGGAATTAAAGGTGTGAGCCACCATGCCTGGCCAAATAAATAAATTTCCTTTCATAGAAATTTATTTTCCATTAAATGGAAATGGTCCTTTCATCAAGACACCAATACCAAAGGAGGGTTTCCTGCCTCTGTCTTACTTATACAACGTTTCTGCTCAGGTGTGAAGTCTGGTGTTAAAACTGGGGCATTTCAGTCCAAGTTGGATTGTCCAGAAATGCAAAATAGTACAATGGAATGATGACATGTTTTTTAAAGCCTATGGAGATATAATTCACATACCATATGATTCACTCATTTAAAGTATATAGCCAGAGGTGGTGGATCATGCCTGTAATCCTAACACTTTGGGAGTCCTAGGCGGGAGGATCACCTGAGGCCAGTAATTCAAGGTCAAGGTTAACAGTAAGCCATGATCCTGCCACTGCACTCCAGCCTGGGTGACAGAGTGAGACCCCATCTCTAAATAAATATACAACTCAATGGCTTTGGGTATATTCACAGAGCTGTGCAATCATTACCACAATCAATTTTCGAAGATTTTCACTGTCCCCAAAAAGAAACCCTGCACCCCTAGTGTCACATCTAACTCCCCTATCTTTCCAGCCATAGGCAACCACTAATCTACTCTCTGTAAATAGCGATTTTCTGATTTTGGACATTTCATATAAATGGAATCATGTAACATGACCTTCTGTCCGGCTTCTTTCACCTTCACTTCCTTCACAAAATGTTTTTAAGGTTCATATACACTGAAGCATGTGTTAGTACTTCGTTTCTTTTTATTGCTGAATAAGGATATACAACATTTTGTTTATCTGTTCAACAGCTGATGAACATTTGGATTATTTCCACTTTTTGGCTATCATGAATAATGATTCTTTGAATGTTCATGTACAAGTTTTTATATGGATGTATGCTTTCATTTCTCTTGGGTATATATACCTAGGAGTGGGATTGCTAGATTGTATAGTAACTCTGTGTTTAACCATTTGAGGAACTGCCAGGCTATTTTCCAAAGCAATGGCAACAGCTGGGTGCAGTGGCTCATGCCTGTAATCCCAGCACTTTGGGAGGCTGAGGTGGGCAGATCACCTGAGGTCAGGAGTTCAAGACCAGCCTGACCAATATGGTGAAACCCCATCTAATAAAAAAAAAAAAAAAAAAAGCAATGGCATCATTTTATATTTCCACTAGCAATGTATGAGGGTTCCAATTTCTCTGTATCCTCACTAACACTTTATCTGTTTTTCCAAACACATCCATTCTAGGGAGTGTGATTTGGCATCTCATTGTGGTTTTGATTTGCACTTCCCTAATGGCTACTGGATAGCGAGTATCTTTCAATGCTCTGATTTGTTAAGAGTATGTTAGGAAATATCTGCTACCAAGCATGTCCTCTGTATTTTCACCACTCTCAGCAATGAGAAAGAGCTCCTGTTCACTCATGTCTAGTTGCATATTTTGTATTATTTATTTATTTATTTATTTATTTATTTTATTTCTTTCTTTAGAGACGGAGTCTCGCCCCATCACCCAGGCTGAAGTGCAATGGTGTGATAGCTCACTGTGACCTCCACCTCCCAGGTTCAAGTGATTCTCTTGCCTCAGCCTCTCAAGTAGCTAGAATTACAAGTGTGCTACCATGTCCGGCGAACTTTTTGTCTTTAGGAGAGATGGGGTTTCACTATGTTGGCCAGGCTGGTCTCGAATTCCTTACCTCATGATCCACCCACCTTGGCCTCCCAAAGTGCTGGGATTACAGGCATGAGCCACCACGACTGGCCTATCTGGCATCATTTAAAGTATGAAGTTCCACATTTACTTCCAAAAGATCAGTGTTACATCTTTGAACCAAAGGAAATATATCACATGTAAGTTAGAATGCTTATTCAGACTCGTGGGAAACATTTTAAATCTTTTTTATTACGACTATAACACACACATAGAAAAGCAAATGATACATAATTGTACAGCTCAACAAATTATTGTAAAT